AATTAGTCATTTACAGTATTTTGTATTTTTCACAGGCAACAGTCTGAAGAAACCATTGGATAAACCTGTTTCAAAGAAAATCGTCGCTGAATTCATTTGTAGACAAGTTCGCCATATCATTCAAGCCAATTGTGTTTATCTTATGGATTCGCCAATAAAAATAGCCAAATTAATGAAATCCGCTTTTATATTGATCAGGCTTTATCTGAAATTGATAGTGGTAAAATTGCCATGTGTTACGACGCATTTCAACGCATTCACCCAGATTTGGTTGGAAAATTTTCCAAGCATTATACATGTATTCTGTTTCAACAGTATAAATCCAACCCCGAAATGTGTTTAGTTTCCTGTGAAATTACGCTATCAACACGTGAAATGGATTCCCAACTCTTTGACATTATACAACAGCATATATAGAATAAGAATGTCAATCATACTTTATCAATCATTCTCTGTAGTACAGTGAAAGACACATCGCATCCGAGTATGAACAGCGCCCTCATGGTCGTTTCTATAGTCCATGCTAAACTACTGACCTATATACGTGGATTCATCCTCTCACTCTTCTCAAGAGAAATGAAATGTTCGATTTAACGGAAATATTTGTGGAAAAGGAGAATGATTAGTTATGTTTGATGTTTACACGACATTTGCGGGACTGAAAAACGCATTTATGCATTTTATATTTTAAATTTTATGAGCTCTTGGTACATAGGAACACAAGAGTCGACAAGACTTTGCATTTCTTTGGAAAGTTCGATGTCAGAATAGGAAGAAGCTTTGTTGACATATGAAGAACTAGCGATGGCGGCAGTATAAGACTCCGCCATGTCTGGGTCCTTGAGGACATCAGGCCAGTGATCGATATTTCCAGCTGTCCAATTTAGCATAGATTCAGAGAATGGTATGCCTGTTATACGACAATACCTTTCAAGCACTTCTCGTGGAGACTGAAATAATTCATCTGAGTCAATTACGACGGGTTGTTGCCCTAAAGATTCAGTAACGTGTCTGTAGAGATCCACCAGGTGCTTGACGTCAGAGAATGTGGACAGCGATACGGAGAGTAAATTTTCGTATAATTTCTGATCGTAACGTTCAATATCTTCAAGTATTTTACGATTAATCGCGTAGTGCGATCGCACGCTTGTTCGAGGGTCCCTCACAAGAAACGTGTGGAGATACCCATTAGGCAAATTTTCCATGTTGCCATTTAAACACACTGCAAAATCTTTGGCAAATACTATTTCTTTCCCAGGATATGCCTGCTCTAACTTGCCTTTGACATCTGCATACGAGTATCCAGAGACTATATGTTCAGGAGGGTGTATATATGCTCGATCGTCGCCAAATACGTACGCTACAGTATATAACTCATGAAATACCTCGAATGAACGGACGGAGGCCAGCGATAGCTCTAGAGCAGTTGAACGAGTACGGGCTGTAGTCCATAACATAACACGCGTGGGAGGATCATTAGCCATGTTGTGATTATAATGTCCACCTGTAAGTAAAAGATTGCGTAATCATGTGTTGTTGAACTCATTATAAATAAGATATGTAATGCTCATACACATTATTTGTATAATTCCTTCAAATATTATTACAAACATTATTGTAATTAACTTCGTTGGCTATTGACATTTATTTTCTGGTCGATGATCATTATTATCATTATGACCAAAGAAAATTAATATTTGAGAAATGTAAGAAACAAATTAATAATTTTGATAATTTTACAATTAATGAACAATTTGCACTGACAATGAGTTATAATTTTACCTCATTTCATATCACACTCGGACAATTCATTAAAACTGCCCTCGACTTAAGACAGCAAGACCTCCAAAGTTTTTAACCCTTAATGCATCATTTTTAACGCATCATTATTGTTATTATTTTTTTAACAATGGTTTCTTCTACCTATATTATTGCTGTTAGTGGGATTTATTACTATTCATGTTGTTTTTTTTAAGTCGCGCCCTCCGCGGTGCTTCAAACCCAACACTAGTGAGGTCTGATGCCTAGTACATGTCAGGCTAGGCTAGGAGTGAAATCAATCCGCAGTGGATGTATAAACTTCCGCAAAATCAAACATAACAAAATCAATTGACAAACCACGGTCATGAGCAGAATCAATAGCCCCACCCCCTTACCATATTTAAGGATCCGTCAGTGTTCAGTGTGTCCACTGAATCAAATTACGTCACATGATCAAAGCAACTCACTGTGAAGCTGTGTTTTTATATGTAGAACTTAACGTAGACGTCACGTGCATACTTTCCCTACTGACAACAACAAGATTGTCTTTCCCCATTGTTTATTGAATTCTGTTACTTTCTAAGTAGGGATAATATTGCCATTTACTGCTCAATCGAAACAGCCCTTGAACTGAAAATGAATTTGAACTATGATCATCCATGACAAAGAGAATAGATATCTAAAATTAGAAACTACGCAATTTGGTTGTTTATGTGTATAAAGGTTAAGAACTGTATTTGAGTAGGGAAGAACATCAGAGCAACAACGAGTGAGTTGACAGGAACATCAGCTCGATTGGTGACGTGGGGAGCTGCAAACAGATGGAATGTCAGCGAACCGTCCAATGCTACCACTTTGATGAAGTAATCATCTTGAGCTCGTTTACAGTTCGTAATTAGATCAGTCGTTAATTGGATCTACTGTATAATAAGAATAAACCTACTAAGCGTTACATACTGGACGACACGCATCCGTATTTGTACGCCCTTACCGCCCGGTAACGATTCCGGTACGTACTCCTAGCCTACCAAAATATGAAGCTAATCTACGTTTGCTGGGTTCCCCAAACTCTGTAGAAACCCCGGCTACACTTGGTGGAGTACCTCGACAACACAACGTCGCCGGCAAACAAGCTTGGCGGCTTGACGATATTGAGAAATGCGGAAGTATGTCTGTACATTTAATTCACAACTTTCATGTATCGTGTACGACAACTTAGTTTTATCACTATACAAATAATGCAGCATATATTGCTTTTCCATGACCCAATTCGTTGCATAATTGCCCTGGTTGATATAGACAAGGTCAATTACACTCACCGTATTTTTCAAGTCGTTTCTGATAGTATTTTCTTCGACTTTAACGATCCCCTTGGAACACCGTGGCAACAAGCCTTGGCATAACAATACTACTTTCAGTCAAAGGTCACAGGTCTTCTGGGTTAAACATTGAAAGCCAATTGCACAATATCGGTGACAAACATAACAATGATTGTGCGTGTTTAGGTTCTCAATGAATGAGAGCTCAGTACAGTCAAACTTTATGACTAAAAAATATTCACTATTTAATAAATACAGCAATTCACCAGTATGGCGCAGTATCCAAGCCAATATTACATTGTTACATTTATTTATTTCATTCGTATATTTCTTCATTTCATTTGTATGCATGATCATTTCATTCGAATATTGTTTTTCATTTCATTCTGTGAAAACACATGTATTTATGTACGCTGTTCTGTTCTCCAAGAAATACGTGTAATAAATGAAATCATGAGTGGAACAGTGTGTGCTAAATAAGTCCAACACATTGGATCTCTAGAATGCGTTTTTTTCCACAGACTTGGGCTCACAAGTTGTGTTGTTTGGCTAACACTGGGCAGACCGTAGTCACGCGTTAATTAGTTCAGAAATGTACACAACCCGTAAAACATGCCGTCTCTTCATAGAGAAGTTTCAGTAGTTTTGGAAATATTGAAACTTTAAGCTGACTTGTGATTACCAATACTCATTAAAAGAAAACATCAGCAAAATAGAATAAATAATAAATAAATTAAACGTAAAATATATGAACAAAAATAAAATACCTATTTTAAGAAAAAAAAACAGGATCTTATTTTAATCAGATTGATTGAGTGATTCATATTATTAGAATTTGTAGAATGTTACAATCGTTTTCACTGAACATTGGAAGATCAGATTGTGGTAAATGTTGATACATCAGAGCAAGTACTTAATGAAATTGCCACTGATTTTATCACTACTAATCAAAACATTATAACTGTAGCCTAAACATTTTTGATACAAAGTATAGCCGTCTGAGTCTCCAAGGCGCCGTTCTCTCTTTTATTGTTTGCGCAAGACGTTTCGTTTTCGTGTATGGGGTGAGTATACCCCTAAAATTAGCTTGGTGTCATTATTTGAACATTGTTTAGTTGTTTGATCTTTATTTAGAAACTTGTTTGGTTATTATTTTGTCATTATTCGGTTATTTGGTCTTTATTTAAACATTATTTTGTGCTTATTCCATTAGTGTGTTATTAATGCAGCATCGTATTGCTATTGTTTCATTATTCCAACTTTATTTCTTAATTATTTCATTATTGTGTAATTGTTACAATATTATTTTGTCATTGTTTCATTCTATTACAATTGTGTCGTTATTTAGACATTATCTTGACATTCAATTGTCATAAAATTCGGTTACTTTCACGTCCAAATGTCTTGACATTCGGTTCGCTTGACTTGCGATTACCTCAACATTCGGTTCGCTTGACTTGCGATTACCTCAACATTCGATTACCTGACCTACATTAGCTGACCCCGCTATACATGTAATATTCAATCCATAGTCCCGGGCCGCCTCCGATAAAGCGTTGCTCATGGTGTCAATGTAGCCTTTGTAAAAGTTAGCGGGAATTTCTGAATGATGGCCATTTCATCGACATCCAGGGTACTGACTGAGGTCGTCAGAGCGTGTCGTGACGAAATATCAAATGCCGCAAAACGTGTTGTTGACACGACGCGCTTCTAGCAAAATTCGCGAGAGATGATCCGACTTGATCATTATATGATGAACAGAATGTGCTAAAAACCGTTCCACAAGACTCGTTACCGTGTCGTGAACTCGCAAAATTTGAAAGAGCAACTAATTAATATTCTT